TGGAGGCATTGAGTGGATTGAGTTCATCAGACAGTCTGTTTATTTCCTCCACAAGTGGAACCACATGGTCAAAGGGCACTAGCCCCAGACGGCCATAAAGGTTTTTCTCTGTTAAGTGCACCTGAAGCATCATGAGAACTTGTAAGACACTTAGATGCAGTTTGGAATACAGCTGGTGACAGTCTCTATCATCTCCTGTGGCTAACTCCTTGGCAGCTTTACTGGCGAGGTGACCATTTGAGACAGAAGCCTTCTTTTTCCTCTTGTAAGCTAAGGGGGCCTTCACACACCAGCGGATCAGTCCAGTGAGTGGGGTGAGCTCTAAAAATCCTATTGGTAAGTTGGCTGCAATAGGAGTGTTTAAGAAGGTGATGAGTATCAAACGGGGGTCCTCAAAGATCCAGGAGACTATCATCTCAAGCAGTTCTGAAGGGGGGATGAGGTCATCTGAAAAAACAAACCCAAAAAACCCAACTGCTCAACAAATTGAGGGGGGAGAAAATGAAGGGCGGGGAGGCAGAGTGGGGGGGGTGGGCAGCCTGGAGAAAGCAAGTTTAGTCCCTTCCTACATCAGCCTGGGCTCAGCCTCTGCAGAAATCCTTATGCAGCTGCCTTTTTGAGTGAGTGAGTGAGAGCACAGGCGCAAATGCAAGAATTGTAATTATTGGACCAACTATGTAGTTAAGCTCATCTAACTTTATCTTTCAAATGCAAGATATTGAAACCTGAGGAAGAATGTCTTGCATTTGAAAGCTTGTCTAACTTTATCCCAACTACATAGTTAGTCCAATAAAAAGATATCACTGTAAGAAATCCTTGTTTCTTGCATAATTTCTAAATCACCACAGCTACAACATCGCTCTTACAGTACCTTTTTTGATACTGTCTTCTAAAATCCCTTTCACATAGCTTCAAATCAGACACTCCCTCACCTTTAGGAAGTCAAGGCCAAAAGGCTAGTCATGCTATCCTCCTTCACTGACTCTATAACCAGCACTGAATCTAATGCAAGATACTGCCTAAACTGAATCTCTCTCTCAAACATGCTGCTCTCTTATTCCCCAAATTTCTCCAACCTCACCTGTCCACTTATATTACAGTCTTGGTAACCACTGTGTCTTGCCACAGGAGTTCAGAAGGAGGAGCAAGAAAAGAGTGAAGATCTCCCCTTTCACCTGCACTATTTTGGAACACCTCCCCTGCTCCTTTTCACCCTGCTAATCACTTTCTGGCTTGAGAGGCACATTGCCAGAACAGCTTAATATTATGAAAACCAGTTTACCTCTCGAATATTTCCAAAATATGCATATGGTTATGATTTCAGAGAGACATCAACAGCAGTAAACTGCTGTGATATACATGCCAGCAGCTAGCACTACACCAACAGAAGTGAAGAATGCATCAAGGTATGCAATGGTTTCTTAAAGCACGTCCTGTTTGTTGCTATTGTCCCACATTACTCTCACTCCAGCCTGCAGGTCACAGACACTTAAAAAAATAAATAAATAAAGGGTTTTATTCCACTGAAAGTACTAGACTGAGTCCTTTAGCTACTGGGCAACTGAAGCATAGATAACAGCAGCTTAGCTCTGCCCATTCTGGAAGCTGGCAGCTCTAATAGAAATAGGCACTTGATTTCAGGCTCCTTCAGTCCTCGTCCTTTGTTGAGTTCACTTACCACTGGCAGAGCTACATCCCACTTTTTACCTTTACTCCTCCAGAGTGCAGGCACTGCATCCAGTATATTAAAATCACGGTGCATCTACCAGTAATTCCACAGTGATGAGTGCCAGAATACCAACAGATAGATAAGTAAGTGAACATGGCAGCATCAGTAGTGTGCACTACATTACAGCCTAAACGCAGCTTACCTGAAGAAAGGTCATAGAGGGCTGTGACTGATGTTATAAACTGGCAGCAGAAGCGAGGACTGACATTGAATATTTGTTTCAGCGTTTGAATGGAACCTGGCACCAAATTACAGTAGTCCTCAACTAAGGCCCGGGCTAGCCTCACGCAGTATACTGCAGGTGTCCGCTGTAAGAGATTTGCAACAGCAGGGGGTGAAAAGTCCATAAAACTAATGCACAAGAAATTTTAGTGAGATGCTGAGTATTTCACTAAGGCTCAATTATAGGAACATACTTATTGGCCAGTACATTTTTTTGTTCGTTTTGTGGGGCTCCGTGTGGCCCGCCATCCAGGGGAGTGGCCTGGAGCTAGATGGAGAGCCACAAGGAGCCTGACATGCCAGCATTGGGCCCCACTGAGCTCTAGCACTGCTCCTGCCCACCAAGATTTGGCCTCATGGGTCCAGAACTACTACATCAGGATTGGGCCCTGGGGCCTAGCATTGCCCCCTCTTGGCCCTGTGCACTGGGATCAGGTACCTGATCTCAGTATATATACAGGGCCTGGGGCTCCCCATGGATCTAGAAATTTGGCAGCAGGGGAGCAGATGACATGGCACTGTGGGCCAGATCTGGCCTGCAGGCCAGGGGTTATGCACCCCAATCTAGTATATTAAGGTAATTCAATGCAACATTTAAAAAGAGCCTTCAACTCATAATCTACTCTCTTGCCAGAGATGAGTTAAAAACAGCATTCAAAGGTTCTCACTGCCCACATTCCCCTGCAAATTTGCAGTTTTGGCATTTATACCTTCCTGGTTTTTTTAATAATTCTCTCTTTCCCTCTTAAAGTACAAAAGAGGTAATTAGCTGTGTTAATCTGAAGATAGGCAGAAGGCATGGTAGATTTCCACTTTATAGACTAACTAAATTAGAGATAATTATAGCAGAATCTTTCATGAGCCCAAATTCACTTCATCAGATGCTGTGAAAGCATACACACAGAGCAGCACAGAAAATGGGAAGAGCAGTTTGAATATAAAAGACAGGCAAGAAGGAAGAAGAGGGGGGCAGTGTTGGGAGAGGCAAACAGAACAACAGTTCCATTCAAACAGGGATAAAATGAATATTCCCAGACCCTGCCCAAAATGTGTTTAAAATTTGAGAATACAAGTGAATAAGGAAAATCATCTTTCCAACACCTTTGTACCTGGCAAAAGTGGCATGCACCTGATACAAAGTGTGATGTTCACCACCTCTGCTCTGCCTTTTTTCTCCCTGCATGCAAGTTATCTAATATTATTATCCGGGCACAGCAATGTTCTCAACCTGCTGGTTTCTAAGTTTTTCCAACTGCAGTCCCCATCCACATTCCGTCTTAAGGGGCACTGATGTTGCAGATCACACAAGTCCAATAAGAAAGCCAGAGCCCCATGGATTTCTCAAGGTAACAAGACCAGGGTAATGAGACCTCTGGAGGTTCTCAGGAGAGAGAGCAAGTAGGGAGCATAAAAAAGACTTATGGATGGAAGGAAGAAGGAAGATTACCAAGACAAAGTCCCCACCACATCCTTTAAGCATCACAATTTCAATGAGTAAAAGTCTCCTGCAAACAACATATCACTCCTTCCTGTTCCTATAGGTCTCATAGAACCTGTATGGAAAAGCAGCATCCCTGGGACCTCAATAGAAGAGGGAAGTGTCTCTATTCTGCACTCCTCCCAAAGCCCAGTCTCACACCTCTTCCCAGATGCAGAGGAAAGCCCAATCTGTACACCTGGATTGGGCAGGAATGAAGACATGACCCACATTCTACAGGCGTGAGTCAGAGCAGGGCTCCCCCACACAGATGTTAAGAGATTCACAGGAGTTGGAGGGGCAGGGGAGAGGGCACCTGGATGCTGAGGAAGCAAGACTTGTTTCCCACACAAACCCTCAAGGAGGCAAAGTGGTGGAGAATGTCTCTTACTATACTGCCTTGCTGTCTCTCCTAAACTCCATAGGTGTCATCAAGAGAAGGTTCTGTAGGTATTTGAAGAGCAGGTCCCAGTTCTGTGAGTCAAGTCCTAGAGTCCTGCTTAGTTTCAACCCACTGTTCACATTAGGTACTTGGCAGCACTTCACCAGCAAGCACATACCATTTTGCTTACTAACCTTGGAGACTACTCTATTAATTAAGAAGCTTTACCTGAAGCCAGGATGCAGCACATTCCAGAACGGGAATTCTACACACCGCTACTGCCATGGAAACCAGTTTTCCTAATAAGGTCATCCTGTTGTCATCCGCTTTGTTTCCTTGAGGGCTGAAGAGAGATGAGAAAATGATCTGCCGAACGGAATCCTTTGTCTGCTCTTGGAAATAATTGCACATGATTTCAAGGAGCTGAAGCTCTTGAAGTGAATTCAGCCTCTGGAAACAAGGAAGCCACAAAGTACATTAGGATTTACTTTATTAACATGTCTAGAAACAGAAAGCACTGCCTTCCCCTTCATAGTCCAGTCTCCTACTCATGGCTAAATCCAACCATATACCTGAAGCAGTTTCATGGAGAACAGGGTATAACAACATGTGGACTAGCTCTAGAATAAACCTTAGTTTTTTGCTGAAAGAACTGGACACGAGCAGTCGAGTTTTCAAGCAGTAGCAGACATCACACCTTCCCAGACTTTACCACCCAATATTAGGGATCTCTGGAATTCACATTGGAAGTGTGGGGCACAGCAGCTTCTTTAAATTTTGCAGTTTCCCCTGCATGCCCCATCCATTGCTGATTGGTGGAAAGGCCCCATCACTTGCTGCTCATGATCTGTGCCTGATGGTGTGGAGGGGAAAACTGCAGCTGTGGTTTCAGGTGCGAGAAACAGCCCGCCCCCCCCAATCAAGTTGGAGGGGATGTGGGGGGGAACCCCAAAATTAAAGCCACCGCTGCACCATGCCCTTCCAGCATGAATTCCGGAGCGCCCTACTTATGGGTAGCCTGCACCTTCCCACTTCTTGTATTTTTTTTTTTTTAGTACAATGTGCAAAGGCCTGGTTCCTAAGCAAAAGTTGTATTTATTTGCCAATACAAAATGGTTATTGATTATATTTTATAGGAAATGTCAAACAGGTATTGTTATCAAGGCAAAAGATAAAGTCTGCAGGAAGATCAGAGCAAAAAATACAAAAGAGAAACAAAACCAGGAATACAAAACAAAAGATACCCTACCATAGCTCCTTTCACTCATGTTCCCTGTGCACTTTGTATTTCTCTCCCTGCCTTCCAGGTCCTAATTCCAGTGCTAAACCTCCATAGGCAGGTCCTTGCACCCACATGGGGCCCCCACAAACTCTGGGGCTCTTGATAGATATAAGTTTCCAGCTATGCTGGTCAGATTGCAGAGTCAGGATGCCAAATTTTAAAGTGCTCTGAAGCAGGAAGAGTCTTGATATTTGTGCCCAGCACAGAGCCACGCACACTGTTGGTACTGAATAATAATGGACAAAACTGCTATGGAGAAATGCTTAAAGAAAACTGGCATAACAGCAACTGCTAAGGGTAAGCCTCCTTGACTGACACTACCTGTGAAGGGGAGCAGGAATCCAACTACAGGCAGCTAGAGATACTGAGGGGATTCCTTGTACTTTCCTGTGCAAACCCCTCTACTGAAACCCCTTAAAAGGTTCTCAGCTAACCAAAGCAAGCAGCTCTTGGGGTGCAGCCTTAGGGGTCTGTCAGTCCAAAGCACATTTCCCAGTCCCTGCAGCCCTGCCACTTACCTTAGGCTGGGAATTGCGCTCCTTTGGGACCTGAAATATAAACTCTTCCAGCAACTCGATGGGACCTTTGTCTACGATGGGGAGCGGGGCACTCTGCAGCTGGCTGCTGAAGTAGATGTCCAGGTGATACAGCACTTCTTTGGCGGCGCTGAGGGCGTCCCTGCGGAGCAGGGAGTGGCGGATGT